GAGGATAGATGCCAAAATGGATTTGGGCACCTGGGTCCCCTCAATTTAGTCCTTCACACTGCACCATGGGAAATCGGCCCAAAAGACATTCGCCATTTTACGGATGATCCGACGCACCTTCTCCCATATAACTCCCATGGACTTCCAACTACTCTATGGGGCCTACTTCAGACCGCTCCTGGAGTACGCCAACCATGTTGTCTACTCAGGACGCACGACAGACGTCCCCCTCATTGAGCGTGTCCAGCGGGAGAATTGTTGCCGGCCTCAAATCCGTGGACTACGAAACGCGTCTCGCGGTGTTTAACCTCTTTCCTCTGGGGTACTGCCGCCTCGGAGGGGACCTAATTCTTATTTATACCCTGTATGAACAAAGCTTGGCAAACGGTTTTTTTACCGTTGACCCAGGAATCACACGGCGGGGACATAGTAAGAAAATTTTCAGAGTCAGAGTACACATATTCATTAGTCAATTTTTTTTCTCATTTCGGGCAGTAGCTGCATGGAATGACCTTCCTCCGACGGTCGTTCACGCTCCTTCTAGAACCCAGTTTAAAGCACTAGTAGACACTTATTTATGCGAATCCTCGCGCCGGCAAGCAAACTGCCCCGCACTGAGTCTATAGAGAGCGGTGCTACACCCTTTTTCACTTGTACCTTACAGGTAAACGACAGCCACTGACCGACACGAACAAAACCGACTCGGAAAACTTGGGCAAAAGCCTCGATCCTGTGTATCAATCCGTGAATCCGTGAAATATGTAACCGCCGTGTGTTTGCTGTGCGAGCGGTGAAAAACATGTTCTCAAAGCTTCGTTGAAACAGGGCATAAGTAAGAAGTAGGTCTCCTCGGAGGCATGAATAAACAAAAACTGATATTTCATCGAATTCACAGGAAGTCCTTGAAGTGCGTGTGCCCTTCTACTGAGGTGGGTGGAACTAACGAACCTTACAAAACCATCCATGAGAATCCTCGCACTGGCAAGCGTACTACTCCGCGCTGAGAACATAGAAGTGCCACACGCTGATATTTCATCGAATTCACAGGAAGTCCTTGAAATGCGTGTGCCCTTCTACTGAGCCTGGTGGAACTAACGAACCTTACAAAACCATCCATGAGGATCCTCGCACTGGCAAGCGTACTACTCCGCGCTGAGAACATAGAGAGTAGTGCCACACCCTTTTTTAACTTGTGCATTTCAGGTGAACGACAGCCGCTGAACAACAAGAACAAAGTCGACGCGGAAACCTGGGCAAAAGCCCTTATCCTGTGTATCAATTCGTGAATCCGTGAGACCGAACGAACCTCTTGCGCGGTACGCTCGAAATCGGTTTCGTTTTTCCCTCGTGCAAATTCGTGCAAATTTTTTGCGTTGTTCAATCTATTCACAGAGTACACACGAGTAATTGTTGAATTTTATTACTCTAACAAAATATTTGAGTGACAACCCTTTATATTTTGCGCACACCTATTATATAAAACTCGCCATATTAGAAAACTGCTGACTGGCTTCAAGGTGCAGTCCTCCGCGAAAGCGAGTCTCTTAGGAGCGCCACCAAAATCGTTAATTCTTGGTGCCCCACCGAGCGCCCAGGGCCTCACAGAGACACTTTTCCGGCCAAACCGCGCCAAAACACCCAAGAATCCAGGAAGGCGAAAGATTACCGCAAATCTCTGATCAACGCCAAAATGGGGGTGCTGAAGAGCTACAAACAGCAACGGTTGAAATTTTCGCCAACGGTGGAAAAGACCTCGTCCTCGAAAGCCAAAAGGCCCAAGCAAACCGGGCCCCCAT